AGTATTTTCTGTTATTATGCACTCCTTTCTTATATTTCGTTCAAAAACAATGTCAGTTTACCAATTGATTTAAAAACAAAATTTGCAGCGGCTTAGGACTATATATTTATACAAAATCGAATGACTCTTGAATTTGGTAGAAATTTGGGCAAGTAATCTACCTCCCCCTTCCCTCAGAAATAAGAGCTCCTGTAAGCCTATGGTTATGTTTAAGTTCCTGCCAGTTTCTCCAATACATGAGGTGAGGTAGTGGGAGCAGTTTATTTTCTAAACTGCACCCTGCCGTTTTTTCGGTTGTTCTTTGTCAATTGTGTTCGTTAGTACTTGTCCTAACGTTGTGATTGTTTTATATGTGACACGTATGTTGTATGGTAGTAAAACACGCGAGATGGTCTCAGACGTACTTTTGATTTAAAGTATAGTTGCGGTTGTCGTTGAGTTGTTCGTTTTGTTGGGTTCATTGTGTTTGTCAGTGTTGCGTTTGATGAAATCAGAGTTATAGTTGTTTTTTGTCAAAAACACGTTTGAGATAGTTGTTTTCGTTGTGTAGAGCGTCCGGTGAATCACATATGATTTGTGCACGTCTTGTTAATGTTCTGATTGTGGTGGCTTTGTGTAATGTAGGATTGTCTAGTAGTCGGTCAGTGTGTGTTGGTTTGCGATACACTGTTGTTCGTAGTTTTTTACTGTCCTGTTTTACCAAACAGTCGAGAAAAGGAAGAGTTCCCTTTTCTTCGACATCTATGGTAAAATGTATGTGGCCGTTCTGTTTGTTGATGTGAGTGTGAAGGCCATCAATCTCGTCTGCATGTAGTGCTGTGACTGTGTCATCAACAAAAACAGTCCTTCTCAGGACTATACTAACCTTGACGATCTACATCTACAAACATGTAAGGTCGTGCATGTTTGTAAGTTGTGAGCGCCCGTTCCTCTATAGATTGAATTACAATTTCAGCAACTACAACAGAAACGAATGAGCCCATTTTTGTTCCATGTAATTGTTTGTAGTGTGTACCTTTGTCCTGGAAGTAATTCGAGGAGAGGCAGAGCTCCAGTAGCTCCATAATGTCTTCTTTCGGTAAAGGCAGTACTTCGTGATGTTTGTAATGAGGGTCTTTTTTATACAAGTAAGTGCCAGATTGAGTAGAATACTTGAGAACAGTGATTTCACTTCAAAAGATACTAGTATATAGTTGTCGGATCTTTTTATATTGTTCAGTTTTTAATGAATATTTCAGTAGATTGTAGCTTGTGTTTTAATTTTCCTGTAGGTCTGTCAAAACTTTAAGAGTTAATAAGTAGGCGAACCAAAGAATAATACAATTGATGGCATGGGTATAATTGGTTTGTGAAGTTGTAGTAGTCCGTACTGTGTGGGTAGTCAGGGTACTGAACATCTAAGTCGATAGTAAATACGTTCAGATATAATGTTAGCTTCTATCAAAGAAAAGATCTTGCTGTTAAGTTTGCGTACTAGTGATGGTGTTGGGGCTCGTTTTAGTTGTTCACACGTTTGTCTGTCGTTAACAAGGTTGTCCATTTTATCAAAGTAATCAGTCCTGTTCATGAGCACAGTCACGCGCCCTTTGTCTCCTGGTAAAATGACGATGTTGTTGTCGTGTTTTAGTCGTTTGAGTGCTTTTGTTCATCCTTTGTCAAGTTCTTCACAAGTATGCCGGCCAATTGTAATGTGAAAGGTACCCTGTTTATGATCTCATCTTTGTTGGTCAGTGACAAGTCTTATTGATACGCTAGTAGAGCCTCGACACTTGATACCTTCTTCTCAGTCTGAATTTGTTTGGTTGCTATAGAATGTTTTATTCTGTATCCGTAACACAGTAGTTGTATTTCAGTAGGGTCTAATGAACGGGAAGAATATTCCTGACCCAGTTATCGTCATGTTTATGCTTGTACGTGTTTTAATACGCTTTAAACATTCAAATTTTGGTTGTTGTCTGATTTGGTGTTGTTTCGCGGTCTTATTTGTTCGTTTGGCTGCAATAGTTTGTATCGTAGAAAGTTAAGTGTCACTTTCTGTCGTTGGGATGAGTTCTCTCAGTTTGTTCGGTCTTTGTTCTTCTTGCTTGTTGTAATAGTTGATTCGTTTGTGACAGTCGTTAATCCGTGCTTGTACCAGTCATCTGCTGGTGGAGTTGACAATCTAATTAGCCTCTTGTGTGTTTAACGGGAACTTAATTCTAAGACATGCCAGAGCGAGACTCATTTCCTTGCAGCGATGGTTGAACCAATACTGTTGCGTGACGTATGTGTCTGACGCTGCTTGCAAAATGTATGTAATCATTAAACAACTGAAACTGAACACTATACTTCGTTTTTTATAGCCTTCATCTACTGATTAAAAAACTGAACACTATACTAATATCCGACAACTATATACTAGTGTCTTCTGACGTGAAATCACTGCTCACCAGTATTCCACTTGATCTGGCACTTACTCGTACAATAAACCCTCATTACAAACACCATGGACGTACTTCCATTATGGAGTTACTGGAGCTCTGCCTCAACTCGACTTACTTCCAGTACAAAAGTACACACTACCAACAATTACACGGAACAGTAATGGTCTTACCCGTTTCTGTTGTAGTTGCTTAAATTGTCATGCCAACCATTGAGGAACGGGCGCTTGCGACTTACAAATACATACTACCGTTTTGGTTCCTCTACGTAGATGATATAATCACAGCACTACATGCAGACGAGATTGATGACTTTCACACTCACATCAACAAACAGAACAGCCACATACAATTTACTAAAGATGTCGAAGAAAACGGAATTCTTGCTTTTCTCGACTGTTTGGTAAAACAGGATAATCAAAAACTATGAACCACAGTTTATCGAAAACCAACACACACTGGTCAATTACTACACCAATAGTCGTACAACCCAACATCACACAAAGCCACCACAATCAGAACACTAATAGGACGTGCACAAATCATATGTGATTCAACGGACGCTCTACATAAGGAAAACAACTATTTCAAACGTGTTTTTGACTAAGATAAATATAACTCTGACATGATCAATTGAAACACTTACAAATACAATAGGGAGCTTTAGCAAAAGTACTACTACGACAACGAGTACGAAGTTTGACCTTGTAAGAGAATGGCATGAGGAGGTTTGTTGTCGTTATCCCTTCGTCAAAATTTTGCTTTAGTTGTAAACAACAGAACTAGCCTTTTTGTTGTGTAAAACACCGACGTTTCCGAAGCAGCGACGGCTCTATTTGTCAATAATGATATCAATGAATCGGTAATACTGGTTTTGCGAGAATATACGACTCTTTAGACTGAAAAATCTTCACTATTTTAAGTTTTATGTACGATATATTTGTACTATTTTATTGTTTGTTTACCTTTCACTTTGCGTACGAAATACATGAAGTTTTGCAGGTCATATTTTCCTTTTTAATGTACATCTGCGTTCAAAAAAGCTTCTAGATTAAAGCCTGGATGCTCGAAAATATTACTGTGAACTAATTTCCTACACAATGAAAAATATACCTACTTTCTTTGCTTAAAAAGACATCGTAGTCGCGACTACGAATTGTTTACAAAATCGTACTCAGATTGATGACGCTACGTGTTTTTGTTGTCGCAACAAGGTTTTCGCGCCAAAATGACGTAAATCGTACTCGTAGTCGTACTCGTAGTCTTTGCTAAAGCTCCCTAATGAACTCAACCAACCGAACAACTCAACGACAACAGCAACGATACCTTATTTCAAAGAAACCTCTGAGACTATCTTCCGTATCTTATCACCATACAACATACGTTTCGCACATAAACCAATCACAACGTTAGGACAAGTACTGAAGAACATAAAGGACAAAGAACAACCCAACGAGCGACAGGGTGCAGTTTGCAAAATAAACTGCTCCGACTGCCACGCTTCATGTATTGGAAAACTGGCACATAAGACTTACTGAACACAGCATTGATTGAGACTGGGCAAAATGCATTACTTACAGCAATGACTATATACAACGGCTTACGTTAGAAAGTTGTTACGCCAACTTAGAACAAAACCTCTTAAATAGATCACAACAATCACCGGCACCTTACAAACGACTTATTCACAATACAAACAAACAAGAAACTAAACACATTACTTTACCCTAATTCACGATAACAATATACATTTGACACCCACACACACCCCCCTTTTCCTGTCACGTAATACGATGACGTAGAAACCAGATAATATATACTGCTAGCCTGATGTTTATTCTTCATTTGACTCTGAAGATGACTACCGCTAAATTGTCAAAACGTCTGTAAACACTAACAACAGCAGTCCTTCTCAAGAATCCACTAACATGGACGATCTACATCAACAAATATGTAACGATACTACTGGTTTCAAACAATTTAACATAATATTGCGTGCATGTTATTTTTAATGCAAAATATGCATGTAAATTCAAATGATTATCATTTATGCCTTAAAAGCGCTATTGCCATGGTTAATGGCCCGAAACCCAAGAAAAACTAAGACTCCCAAGAGAAAACCAAGAAAACTGTTTTTCATTGAACTACAATACACTTGCAACTGCACTTTTTAATGCAACATTTATATTAGTTACCATGACAAATTCTCTGTTTTAGTTTCCAGTGGCGCATCTAGAGTACGTTCAAATAACTTATTGTTTCACATTTTTGTATTGTATTTGCATTCCTAAGCATGTCAGAGGCAAGTCTATCGGTAAAATTATATTCTTAAGAAATTCAAAACCAATAGGGTTGTTCTGAAGGTATTTTGAATTCAAAATTGAGGAGCTATAATTTTTTTTGACGAGCACTCGTTTTGCTACTGTTACTATCTATTTCTTTAGAACTGTGTTGTCTTTACCCAAAGCAAACACAGAAAAATTTTGAAACAGCCAAATCTGCACGCTGGCTACGTCAGTGGAGTTTTGTTATTTGTAGACAAAATATCAAAACTATTTATTATATTCTTCTATTTGAAAGTAGCAACGCTGTATACAATCATTGTGCGTACTGGAACGAGCGACAATCCTAACAGCCTGTTTAGTATGGATGGCCCTGGGACTGATTGTAATGTGAAAGTAAAGATCCACGGAAAATCAAAGAAGACTGGACTTGATGATTCGACGGATGCTATAAAACTCAAGAATAGCGAGCATTTCAATAAATTCGAGAAAGGACAGTAAGTTTGGAAATGTTTGAAGATGATTTTTTATCTTTATTTATAAGACTTTCAACTCAGTTCAGAGCCAACTTAATCTATTTTCTGAATCTATATATGAGTAAGGGTATTTACCAACCAACAGGAAATTAATTAAATTGCCACTTTGTGTGTGCGATATTAACCCAACCAAAACCATTTTTCACTTCATATAATTAACCCAAATCTTGTGCTAAGTATGTTTCACATCTCATGATAGTTTATTTCTTTGGAATTCTATTTTTAAAGTGAGTAAACAACAAAATAATTACTTAACATGACCAAACTTGCAGGCTAGTATCACTATATCTAAAACTTTTGTTTTCAATCAAGAAATTCAACGAAGTGTTTAATTGTTTATAATTCTGTAAGAAGAACCAATCTTTTCATTTTTAAACTTTATAACTATTTGGGTGTTACAAAATTTAATACCCATCCAAACTCGCCATGCATTTAACACGTCATAGGCGTTTTTTCACCAAAATGGAAATGTTCAGGTAAAATTAAAAACTCGCCGTCTTGTGTAGAACAGATACGTTTGTCGACCTCAAAGATGATGAAGATATAGGAAACATTAATAAAGTTGAAGTGAAGATTTACAACTTTTGTTCCGTTGGCCCACATTGGCTCTTAGATAAGGTAGCAATTCAATAGTTATTTAAAATTAACCTTTAGGATTGTATAAGTATCCTTTTCAGAGTATATGAAGAGTTATTAAGTGCAAAAAGCTTTCAGATGATTCTCAAAAATAAAGCTATTTTAAATATAGCCTTCAAAAACAATGTAATAGACAAAGGGCAGTTGGAGTATCTATAGGGGGGCGCACATATTCATATATTCATGTAATAGCTCATTTAAGAAAATGATTTAAAGGAACTCATTATGGCATATCATACATATATGAATATGATCCTCGTATATATCAATCTTCCTACCGCCTTGAATTGACACTCCATAAATGGTGATATAGCATGAAGAACTATAGGCTGTGGATCAATATGCTCAAAAAGCTTCATTCTTTCCACACCTCTAAGGGGCTTTTACATGAACCCGGTAGCCGGGACTCAGCGAAGTGTTAAATAATGTTGGCAAGTGGAAAAGATAAATACTTAACAACAAAAAACATATTTGAGCAATTTCTTTATGCTCTGACATTGCAAATTTACAAAACCTTTACAACCTGAGCAGCCTCTAAGGGGCTGTTCACATGAGCCATGCAACCGGCATTCAGCGAGACGTGAAATGAGTTTGAGTTATTTAAAAGAACAAAAACTTCAAGCGCAAAATTTACAACCTTTTTAAGCGTCATGAGTCATTTTATTTGTTCTTTCGAAAGAAGTTTAAGTATTTGTTTTCATTTTAAAGGTTTTTTGAAATTGAAATGTCATAGCATGGAGAAATAGCTCAAATAACTTTTTTTATGCGAAGTATTTAATCTTTCCATTTGCCAAAATGATTTAACGCTACCGAGTTCATGTGAACAGCCCCTAAAATCCTTTCATAGTGTTGACGTAGCCCCAATCGTTTGAATAACAATGAGGTGTGTTATCTACTTTTTTAATGAGAAATATTGATGAAATATTGATGACTGACCAATACAAACAAACGATCAACTAAAAACATTACACTTCAAACTAATTCACAATGACAATACACAATTGACACCCACACACTACAACTAAAAACGTCACACCTAAATCACACATCACAACTAAAATTAAAATATTTCACTTCACACTAATCCACAATGACAATACACATTTCCTGCACATTTCCTGTACACACAATACAATGACGTAAGAACCAGACAACAAATACGGCTAACCTGACGTTTACTCCTCATTTGACTCTGAAGATGACTACCGCTAAGGTTGTCGAAACGTCAGTCAACAACATCAAAACAGTCCTTCAGGACTTTATTAACCTGGACGATCATCATTTACAAACATATAACGATACTCCCGGTTCAAACCATTTACTCTATTACGATCATTTGGACGACAGAGCGAACAACTTGCTAACGACTACATACGTTTTGCAAGCAACGTCAGACGCATACGCCAACAACTCTGGTTCAACCACCGCTGCAAGGATTTTGGTCTCGTTCCGGCAGGACTTAGAATTAAGTCTCCGTTGAACACACAAGAGGCTATTCAGATTGTCAAATCCACCAGCAGACGACTGATACGAGCACGGATTAACGACTGTCACAGACGAATCAACTATTACATCAAACAACAAGAACAAAGACTGAACAAACTGAAGGAACTCATACCAACGACAGTAAGTGATACTTTACTTTCTACGATACAAACTATTGCAGAGAAACGAGCAAACAAGACAGAGACACAACACCAAATCAAACAACAACAAAACTTGAACGTTTAAAACAAACTAAAACACGTGCAAGACATAAACATGACGATAACTGGGTGAGGAATATTTCTTCCCGCCCATTAGACGAAACTGAAACGCGACTACTATCTTACGGACTAAAACATTCCATAACACCTAGACAAATCCCGACTGAGACGATAGTATCAAGTGTCGAGGCTGTCCTAGCGTATCAAAGAGACTTGTCAGAGACAACAAAAGACGAGATCAGAAGCAGGATAGCCTCCACTTTACAATCGTCCTCTATACGTGACAACAACTTGACAAAAGACGAACAACAAGCACTCAAACGACTAAAACACGACAACAACATCGTCATTTTACCAGCAGACAAAGGACGCGTGACTGTGGTCATGGACAGGAATGATTACTTTAACAAAATGGACGCACTTGTTAACGACAGACAAACGTACGAACAACTCAAACGAGACCCAACACCATCACTAGTACGCAAACTTAACAGCAAGATCTTCTCTATGAGAAAATCTAACATTATATCTGAACGTATTTACTATCGACTCAGATGTTCAGTACCACGACCACCCAGACTATACGGACTACCAAAACTTCACAAACCACAAATACCCATGCGACCAATTGTATCATTCTGTGGTTCGCCTACTTACGAACTTTCAAAGTACTTGACTAACATACTGCAACCACTTACAAACAAATCAAAACACAAGCTACAATCCACTGAAACTTTCATTAAAAAACTGTGCACTATACAAATACCAGACAACTATATACTAGTGTCTTTTGATGTGAAATCACTGTTCACCAGTATTCCACTTAATCTGGCACTTACTTGTACAAAAACCCTCATTACAAACACCACGGACGTACTGCCATTACCGACAGAAGACATTATGGAGTTACTAGAGCTCTGCCTCACCTCGACTTACTTCCAATACAAAGGAACACACTACAAACAATTACATGGGACAGCAATGGCTCGCCCGTTTCTGTTGTAGTTGCTGAAATTGTAATGCAATCTATAGAGGAACGGGCACTCATGACTTACAAACATGCACTACCTTTTGGTTTCGCTACGTAGATGACACAATCACAGCACTACATGCAGACGAGATTGATGACTTCCATACTCACATCAACAAACAGAACAGCCACATACAATTTACCAAAGATGTCGAAGAAAACGGAACTCTTCCTTTCTCGACTGTTTGGTAAAACATGACAATCAAAACTAGGAACAACAGTTTATCGCAAGCCAACACATACTGACCGACTACTAGACCAATCATCTTACAACCCTACATCACACAAAGCCACCACAATCAGAACATTAACAAGACGTGCACAAATCATATGTGATTCACCGGACGCTCTACAAAACGAAAACAACTATCTCAAACGTGTTTTGACAAAACAACTATAACTCTGACTTTATCAAACGCAACACTTACAAACCCAACGAACCCAACGAAACGAACAACTCAGTGACAACAGCAACGATACCTTACATCAAAGGTACGTCTGAGACTATCTCGCGTATCTTACGACCATACAACATACGTGTCGCACATAAACCAATCACAACATTACGACAAGTACTAACGAACATAAAGGACAAAGAACAACCCAACGAACGACAAGGTGCAGTTTACAAAATAAACTGCTCCGACTGCCACGCCTCCTATATCGGGGAAACTGGCAGGAACTTAAACATAAGACTTACTGAGCACAAACGAGCTACTAAGAAACAAGACAAAACTAATCACATTGCCGAACATCACCGAATCACAAAGCACAACATTGACTGGGACTCGGCAAAATGCATCACTTACAGTACTGACTATAGACAACGGCTTACATTAGAAAGTTGGTATACCAACTTGGAACAAACCCCCCTGAACAGATCACAGCAATTACCGGCACCTTACAAACGACTTATTCACAATACAAACAAACGATCAACTAAAAACATTACACTTCAAACTAATTCACAATGACAATACACAATTGACACCCACACACTACAACTAAAAACGTCACACCTAAATCACACATCACAACTAAAATTAAAATATTTCACTTCACACTAATCCACAATGACAATACACATTTCCTGCACATTTCCTGTACACACAATACAATGACGTAAGAACCAGACAACAAATACGGCTAACCTGACGTTTACTCCTCATTTGACTCTGAAGATGACTACCGCTAAGGTTGTCGAAACGTCAGTCAACAACATCAAAAACAGTCCTTCTCAGGACTTTATTAACCTGGACGATCATCATTTACAAACAAATATTGATGACGTCAAAAGTTTTGTTTATTGCTAATTACATTATTATGCATTACATTTATGATTGCGAAAAAAGTAGATTTCTGAGCACATTTTAAATATTTGGTGTGTGGTGTGATAATTGATCCAAATGCAAAACAGAGCAATATTTATAATGCGTATGATTTAGAAAAGAACATTTTCTTGTGTTGTTAGATCACTGTCATTACGGAGAATCGAGAAAGTTTTGCTTTTAAGGCCAACGTTTGGTTGACGAAAAAAGACGTTTTCTATCCCATCATGACTCTATTAGGTTTGTACAGAGTAAACCATAACTGACATAGCCAGATAGAAAATTTGTTCCTGGTGTGCAGATTTCACTCATTGAAAATGAGTTTATAAAGAAATGAGTGTAATGCTATAGGTGGCCCAGAAATTTGTTTAAGCTTTTTATTTAATCGATTTATGTAAGTAGTAAATAAATTATTTGAGTTATGTGCACTGTTCATCATGCACGCAGTCTCACATTACTTCTACGTATGTATGGTTTAAAAGGTATTAAATTTTGACAAGGTTGACAACTCTCAACACAAAACTACCGACTGTTGACACAAACACTTTAACAAAACCGTAAATAAGTAAATAGGAAAACACAAAAAACAAATACATCTCATTCATAAGGATAATTTTACTAAATTTTTGCTCCTTTTTTTAGTATTAAAATTTGTTTCTATCCATATGACAAACTCGAATGTTCTTAGGGTTTATGCAAATATATTTCAAAACCTATGCTGGAGGCACTTATCTATACATTCTTCATATTTCTGGATTCTCAAACAAAATACATATTGGCTAAATCTATGTGAAAAAAATTAGACAATGTGAATGTATGCTAAAGTAATTTTAGCATATAAATAAAATAATCTATTTAATATTTACATAAATGGATTAAATAAAAACTTAAACAGATTTCTGGGATACCTATGATAATGCCTTGAAATTTACATAGCAGAAAGAACACTTGCGTGCTCATCGTAAACCATAATATTAGTTATGTTAGTTTGAGTCACGAAATTTATAAAGTTCAACTTATTGCTAAATACCATCACATTTGGAATCGTTTATGAAGTACTTTTATTTTAAATATGCGTATTTCAATGTATTTTGATCGCTATAGATTAGCTAATGCATTTATTTAGTTTTGATCTTGAAGAGTGCATGTGCACTCGATATAGGTCACCGACCTGGAAACAGTCCGAGTTCAACACGTTATTGCATTTCTTTAGTCAGGTATTTGGTGACAGTGAAAACAGGCAGCTTTAAGGATGCTGGAACCTTATCAAGAGTATTCATTAAGATATTTGGATATTCACGATCAAACTTACAATTGCTGTCCACTTCTCTGTTATGGCTAACGGGTTCTGTTCCTGGAGATGGATTTGCCAAATCATCGTTAGATTTCATAGTTATTGTTTAGCTAAGTGAAGGCTGCTCTTAGTGGTTTTTTTTGCATATTGTACCCAATACATATAATTCAACATTTAACATCTCCTGCTGCTGACCAAAAACAATTCTAAATTAACCCATTTGTATTTTTATACATAACAGCGATGAGATTACATAACATTACTTCATGCCGGATTCTTTCCATAATACGTTTTCTGCTAGGAACTGCCCTTATTTTAAAAATATTTATGGGCCTTATTCTCCACTTCGAACACTCTTGTTTTGAAATGCCAGAATTAATCTACTATACTTTATTCTCACTTTCAATTATATGCATGAAAACTTAGTGGATTTAATGCAGTAAAACTTATATATAAAACATAATTTGCGTTGTTGATAGAAACTCGTTGTTTGTTCGCTTATCAATTTTTTAGATCTTTGAGATTCATAGTAGAAGATGTCAACGATCTCATAAACTTGACCAAGATCGAAATTGTGAGGGATGATAAAGGAAGTCATTGGTATTTAGAAAAAGTATCAATAAAGTCTTGTTCTATTTGATCTCAGATCTTCTCCAGTATTAGTCATGCTATTATGTTAAATTTAATATTCAATAGATCGAGGTTTAGTGCTTTTAAAAGATGCGATATAATGTCGAGAATTATATTTTCTTTTGTCTTTAACAATTAAATCAAAATTACTGCTCAATGGAATCTTGCTTTCTAACAATATTCTATTTACATGTTTATTAAATTATTAGATCATTATAACAACAAAAGAAGGAACAGCAGTATTTCCAGCACACGCGTGGATCAATAGACCAAATCAATACTTTGTATTCAAAGTTTTAAAAGGTATCTACAGCAAAAATTCACTATTCTGTTTGTCTTAAGTTATGGTGAAGTTGATGCATGTTGCTCAAATTTTGATTCTTACACAAATGTATGTTTATCAGTCAGGTTCTATTTTTAGAAGCTCCCATGACCTCTTCATCATCACTGCAAGCCTCTTTACTCGTTTCCATGACACTGCGAACCCCTTCCTTACTCTCCACAACACCGTTCAACTCTGCATTAGTTTCCTCAACAATTCTAGTAACTTCACTTACCCCCACATTACCTTCCACTGTATCGCAAACCTTTTCCCCACTGCTAATCTCCTCAACCTTTTTAATACCTACGATTCTTTCTCCAAAAGTTCTTGGCTCACTCTCCTTAACAACATCAACTCCTTGCACGTTGATTCCCTCATCACAGTGTTCAACATCGCAATCACCGATTCCATCAACAATGGTCGTGTCAGGTATGTATGAAATGCTTGTGCTTATGGCTGATTAATTTTATAGTAGGTCTAAGTATGGCGTCAGTGAATTTACTTCAGATTCATTTAATACAAGGTTATTTGCAATAAGCTATTGAAAAGAAAAAATTAGCTATGTTAAAAGCACTTTATTCAAAATGAAATGAAATAAAATGAAATAAATACATGAGAGAATCGCAAAAGTAATACACTAGATGAGTGATTGAGAAAATGCAAGTTTTAAAACGTGGTATGATCTTAGATTCTGATTATACAGAAATTATTTAGTTTATTGATGAAATAGATAATTAATAAAGGATTTTACTATGGAAAACTGCTTTTATGAAATTTTTTTCCGATGATGTCAAGATGTCAATCTTTACATATCTTTTAGATTTTCCCATCATATAATCATATACACCTACTCGCTTTCGGAGCCTGGTGCAGAGACAAGTATGTACATAACTTTAATCGGCCTATCGGCGACAAGTCCTGAAATTCATCTCAAAAGTCCTTGGGTTCCAGAATGGACACAGCCCACCCGGTAAAAACTAACTATGTAACTCTTTTACCTGTCCAACTTGAAGTGGTTTTTGAAGCCTGCCTGATGTGTTTCCAGCGAGGCAACGTTTGAAATTTGTTTTAAAAACCTTATTCTTCTACAGATCAAAAATCTTCCAAATTCAACAAAACGATTTTGGTCCAATAATTAAGATACGACTTCGACAAGTCGTTGCTGCAAGATCCCCAGACGTGACAATTGAAAAGGTTGTCAGACTGCATGCATTTACATATTCGCTATAGAGCTGCATAAGAGCATTCATTGCATATGTGGCTATTTCCCTCATAAATGAGTAACTTTACAATTTTTTTTTTCACTCACTTCCTTTCTATTTACTACTCGTGCTGATTATGTTTCTATCAGGTTTTAATTGTTTCTCAAGAGAATACTGTGTATGAGTTTTTGGTGTCATCTTTGCTTAAAAGCTCAGATCCTGTGGAGAAACCGTTAGTTGACTGTAAGTAAAAACTCGATATAATCAAATGCACAATGCTGCTGAAGTGTTTAGTTGGTTTGAACATGAAACTTTAAGAAGATGGTTACTACCTTTTAAATTATTGCAAAATCGTTTGTTCGTCATTATAGCCAATACAAAACATAATAATCATTATATTTGGCATTAATTAAAGTTCTAATGTTACACAAAACTTAAGTAAAGAGCTTCTTGACCTGATGGCAAAGAGTGTTCAATAAAGCAATCCTTAATAACTTTTTCTGAAGAATTGTTTTTGCTTACTTATCTCTAAATACATAGTGCCTTTGTTCTTTATGCAAATATCATCGTTGTGACATAACTTTGCAAATAACATTTTGTGGAGTATTATCTTTTATAGAGCATTATTTGCTTACCGAAATTGTAATATCTTATTGATCAATGTACACTTTCATGATGACATCAGTTCATGAATATTTGTATAACGATGTAAAAAGTTGATGCTTTACACGGCAAACTGTCAATATTTTATTTTGTGAAGCTTATTATGCAGTGTGACGTCATATAGTCATAATACTTATATAAAGAAAAAGCTAAATCTCTCAAGAAAGATGCTAACACAGTTGAAATAAAATTATTCGTTATAGGTCATTTAAAATAATTTTTATTGAGCAATCACAAAGCTATGTGAAAAAGTTTCTTGTCATAACTCTCACGTGTCTAGACTTGTTATGTTTATGTAAGGTATACAATTTCGGGGGTTTATGGTTTTCTTTCTTGCTATAGCTTATCCTGCTACGTCCTTGAAGTTTATAGCGTATCCACCTTGTGCTCAGTCAAGGCAATCCCTGATGCATCCAGAGCCTAAGTCACCTGTACTTCTTTTGCAGTCGTGTAACAAAATACCACAGTTGTTTAAGCTTCATCCTGATGGAGTTATTCAACATCTTGCGAGTGGCATGTGCATTCAAAGCAGTAGAACTGATGATCCAATGAAAATAGCAGAGGGTGAAAGCTTGGTATTGAATTACCCGTGTACACTGTACCGATCAGAATACAACACACTACATGCTTTACAGTTTAAATTGACAACAAAAGGATCTCTTATGGAAATAAGAAGTGGAAAGTGTATTTACACACGCGATGGAGTAGAGAATCTGCCTCTTACATTTACTGAGATATGCGATACTCGCAACACGCAAATTGCTTTTGTTGGTAATGATACATTGCATAATCTGTTTCAAACACGCTGGGAATGTTGCAAAAAGCCACAAAACCCAGATTGTAATCTGATTAGGGGGTGGACTGGATGTCTTTGAAAAAGTATTAAACAAAACTTTAGATTGGAAAGTTTAGATAAGAAAAATGAAAATAGTTCTTTATGTTTTTGGTTTCCCAGTTACGTGATGTTTCCCTGTGGTCTCATTTAAAACTTGTGTGCCAAGTTCAGGCAGACTGAACCAAGGTTATTTGTAGCATACAAATATCAAAGTCTGAAGTAAGAGTTCCTTTTTTCTCAAATGTGCACCCCCCTATAAAATCTCTGGCTACAGCCACGAAACCCATTCTGCACCTTATCCAAACCTCAATTTTTGCACATGCTACATAAATTTCAGATCATCAACGTTATTTGTTTCTTTAGAAATAGATTGTTTTTGCGGCTAGAGAAAAAAAAATAATTTAAGTTATTTTGCGTGTTTTTCTTTACTTGAGCACCTGCCTATTGACTTTTGGACCAGGCACTATTAAGTGGACGTAGTTACTCATCGAAATTACTATAATTTATTGTATAGCCATCAATTTGTTACGAGAAACATGCAATGATCTAATCGTATCAAGCATGGTAACCTAAAATGTCAGGAACTTTATTCTTTTTGTCTATAGGTCTATCACATCATTTCTTTATTTTTAAAAAAAGCAAAACATAAAGTGTTGACTTTGTCAACGCTTGTGTTATCTGAATTTATTGGTGATATTTTATCGTTATATTTTTAGACAAAAGAAACAATGTTATAGTACCAAAAATTCCCAGTGAAATGCAATCTAAGTCATCTGTTTCTCTTTCGTCGCCTTCGCAACACATTGAATATCCCTCTGGAGGAGTAAATAAATTACCAACTGCTGATCCAATAGCTCAAGTTTTAAGCATCCCTCAACAACAAAATTTTGGTAGGTTGCTTATTTTAAAGAACGCACTCAAGTCGTTGAATTCATTTTTCTGAACAGTGATTACTCAAAATGGTTATTGCACGTACTGGTATTTTTATAAAGAATGCAACTTAAGCTCCTTGTACTTGTGTCGTAATGAGGATTATACACAAAATTCAATGTACTTCATCTCCTTATACTTATGTCATTGTGAGAATGTTATATAAAAAATGAACATGCTTGCTCTCTTTAATTTATGGGAAAATGTTTGATTCTAATTAATATTGCTTCAGGCTTGGTTTCAACGTTGCCATCCATATACTGTCCATCAAGTTGTTCGACACCGTGCATGCCATCGTGTGAGCCAATGTGTTGCAGAGTTGGCCTACAACAGCCTGGTAACATGCTCCCAACTTACCCAAACATAATTCGTTGTGCATCTAACTGTTCACCAGAACATTGTCCGTCATCATGCCCAGTAGGGTGTTGTTTTCCAAATCTTATGTCTTGAGGAAACATGAACTGTCATAGGCATAGTGTAAAATGATAACAATCATTATTTTCATCGATCATTTTGAAGTGGTTTAGCATGAAAAATAGATTTTATTTTGGATCCAGTGTTATCACGGCGGAAAGCAAAGGACTTCATGAAAACGAAACGGCAGTCATTATACTGTTTCTACTGAAGTCATTATATTGTGTTCTAAATTCGTCAGCATATAGGAATGCAAGTTTATTGTCCATTTTCTCAACCTCTTAAATGTTTAGGTTGGTAATGTGCAAAGTGCAAACACCATTGCTAAGATTATATCAGAAATATTCCTCTCAAAAACGATCAATCTTATCAAATTCGACAATATACGAAGGGTTTGAACTACATTTCATAACAGACCGGCTTAGAGAAATCAAAATTTTCTCTACAATTTAGGAAAAGAGAAACATTTTAATAATTGCGAGTGTTGGAAATGAAAACATACCTATGTTTCAGTCAAAATTAAATTTTCAGATTAAAAAATTTTATATATTTTCGCACTTTTTTTATGTGTTGTTGCTAACTTGAGGATTTTCAGTCTCTCAGTAAACGTCTCTGTGATGACAAAATATCTCAAAGCAAACATGTTATTTGTTCAAGCGCCGTCCTTCAACGAGCACTGCACATCGACCACTGACATCTAAATTGTTGATAATTCCAATACAAAACAATCACAAAACTTAAATCAACATTGTAAACTTGTTTTCTGATAAAAACATAGTAAAAACTTCCCGACCTCAAGTACGTGCAAATTGTTTCATTATGCATGTTCTAAAAACATTTCACTTCGCACTAATTCACAATGACAACACACAATTGACACCCACACATTTCCTGTACACACAATATAATGACGTAAGAACCAGATAACAAATACGGCTAACCTGACGTTTACTCCTCATTTGACTCTGAAGATGACTACCTCTAAGGTTGTCGAAACAACAACAAAAACAGTCCTTCTCAGGACTATACCAACCTGGACGATCTACATTTACAAACATGTAACGATACTCCGGGTTCAAACCATTTACTTTGTTTCATTATTGTTAAAATTTCTTTTTACAATTCACAATTGAATGATTTTTTGAAAAGCACCACCCTCGATGAAGGGCTGTGTCAGATGTTCTGACTCAAACGAGTGACTACGGTACATTTTTTGTTGAAAAACTCTGACAAAAGGATTTATATAAAGAGCAAACCATTACATTTTCTGCTGTACGTATCCTTGCAGTATAACCATTGTTCATCTCCAGCACTAATTTTATTTTATATTTTCGTATTCATTTTCCTGGCATACACTCGTCCCTGTTCAGCAACCTTTGTTATTTTTGTAACTTTGTAAGTCATTCGGAATAAAAAATTTTTTCCATATTTCATTTAAGTATGAATTGTGTCAGTAACTTTTATCATATCAGACGCGATATTCTGAGGTTTTATAATATGTTTAGGCACTTGAAATTTGCTTAATATTTTTTCCGAGTTCTTCTTCTTAAAACAATTGTGCTCAGTAGTACGAGATTGTGATGAACTGGACGACTGCATTTCCGAATTTTATGACATTTTGGAAAAAAGTCATAAAAAAAAGAATGAATTCCTTGAGATTTTATTACTTTTCTGATGGTTGAGATGCGAAAGAGTATAAGCATAATTAAATTAGTAAAAATCAAGAAATACAAAGCACTAAAATTAACATACTTTGACAAAACCAAGTAGTAAAATAAAAATTATTATATATAAAACAGAAGAATTTGATCGATTTAATTGATAGATAGCTATGATCTATAATAAGACAGATCCACGGAATTGATGTCACAGAAAATTTCTTGTTTTTAAATGACAAACCAACGGCGAATTTATTTAAATATTTCCCTGAATTCATCCCAGAATGGACATTTAAGGAAAGTAAGAATACCTATTTGAAGCAGTAGACGTATTGGATCAAAAAAAAAAGAAGAAATCCGGTTTTCAAACATTGATTTCTACTTCGTCTTCAATATCAAAATTTCAACAAAACTTATCATCAGCCATTGCTTGTTTATTTTGTTAGTCAACATATTGTATTACGTTATTGAGCTGGCCAATAGCATTTCTTCAATCGTATAGATCACGTAAGCTTGATATTTGCAAAATCAAGACTTTTCAATGTCCCAGAATCGGAACTGCGAAATCGACTCCAATGAGTTTATACGGTGTGGTTCCTCTTGTTCGAGCCTTTGGTAAAGGAGCAGGTATTGGAGTATGATACGGTTTGGTCGTGAATCTCTTGCATCTGTAGCATCTCTTCATTTGCCTTTTGACTAGTCGATGAGGTCGAGGAACCCAATACCTTTTCGGACCTTTGCCATCGTAAGTATAACTCTCCCATGGAGTGTTTCCAAATGTGCATCTCCCACTAACTTCACGGTGAATAGAGCGTCATCAGGCAAGTAAATAGGGAACTCTCCTAGTATCCGACGGTGACATCTTTTCATCGTCGGGTTGTACATTTAACTGAATCAGATCCGTTTGAGACTTTGGGTTTTCTGCAATTCCGGCTTGTACCATTTTTATTCCTGACATGAGTTGCTCTTCCTCTTCATCAGATATCAGTGGCCCGTGGCTTTATATTATCGCTGTTTTGTCGAGCATTATCAATAAATCGTTCCACCCACGCCCCAATACGCATCGCTTTCCGCAATGGATGTTTTTCAAGAATATCACTGAATATTGCAAAGTCTGACCGCTCGATAGCCATGCTCAAAACTACTGCCTTTACGTCACTTTGGGAGTTAATCGACGGTTTGACTGTAAGATCTGGTGGCCAAAGACTACGCTCTGATAGCCAGGCAGGACCTTTCATCCACAATTCGGTCAGTTTGCCACCTCTGCTTCCGAGGTTAGCCGGATTGTCGGTTGTTGGCACATGATGCCACACGATCTCATTAGAAGCTTGGATTTTTGCCACTCGATGCGACACGAATTGATTATAATCACCGTATCCTTTAATCCACCATAAAGCTACAGTACTATCTGACCAGCGGTGTTTTCTGTGTGGAATGTGCCTCAGCGCATTGCTTGCATTCGAGACCAAATTTGCGGCCATATGACTTGCAACAAGCTGTAACCTCGTGATAGTCAGTCTTCTTTTGGCAAGTCTTGATTTCGCTGCCAGTAATTCCTGAGTAACTCGAGATGGTTGTTTAGCGACCTTGTAGACGACTTTGCACAAACCTTCACCGCTGGCATCCCGAAATTTATGAATCTCTAAGCTACAGATGGGTTCTTGGAATGATAAGCCGCTCTTGGCACGGTCACGTCGCTTGGTAAGGTGTTTTCCCACTTCTTCCAGCTCTGCTTCAATCTAAAATTCAATTCCGCGTCCCAAGGTAATTTCAGATCACACACCTCTCGATAGATTTGTTTGCCTTGCAAAAGCAGAGGGGATGCAATTCCCATTGGATCATAACTCATCGCCAGTCGACTTAAAATGTTGCGCTTTGTTGGCAACTTCCCATAATGTCCTATTGGTACACTTACGTATCTTTCTCTTTATTCCACATTGTAACCAGGATCTTCATCTCAGTTGGCTGCACCCCAAATTGTTGTTTGGCAGCATTGGTTCAATGAAGTTGAGTGTAGAAGAATGCCAAGAACTTCTTTGTGTCTTATGAAGAATGCCGTGTGCCGTTTGATGTTTAATTCTAAAAAAGTTAAAAATTATTTAACATATTCCAAAAATTGACCTCCGTACCAATGTCTTTGGAACACGAAGAATAATCACAATCAAAATTTGGGTTTGTTAAACAATTTTATTCTCACTCTCAAAGGTATCTCGCCTATCTCGCCTTTCTCACTTCCGTTCTCTCCTCTCTCAACTTCCGTTCTACTCATGTTTTCTATATTGTTCCTTATCGTCCCCAACGTACCCGAATTTACAGTTGAACCCAACACAACTTTAACATAATTTACCACAAAGAAAATAAACGTACTTTACTGTAGATTTTCCTCATTTTGATGTGTGTGTCTATTTCTGAAGCATTTTCAATATTTCATGCTTTTGGTATCATTGTTGTTTTCATTGGTTATCACTGGTTGTCATTAATATAAGTAGTAATAGAAATCCGTATTCCGGAGTGAGCGAACGTTAAAAATAATTATCAAAGCAGAAGTTTCGAAAACCAAAATCCGCTATTACCGCTATGTTTTTGACAACCAAGACCAGGCCACTGATATGTATATTTGACTGGAAATTGCATCTCTTGTAAAAATTGAAGCCGGAAGTTAGATTGATTGCTGCTGGCTTCATGGGGGCTTTCGGTCCCACTTTACTATACTTTTGTATTACAAAATCACAGTTTTCGCGTTTTCATCCCCTTTACAAACTTGAGATTAAGACAAAGTTTCATGAGATGTAGAGGAAATCCGGTAGAGAGTTTTAACCCTGAAGCTCTGTTTTCTTGGCTTTGTAACGAAAGAAAAATAAGAGAGCAAGTTGTATTTAAATTTGATAGTTCAAGGTGACGAAGACAATTTCAGATTTGCGAAGCATTTTTCGAAGATGAATACTTAAATTACAACAAAGTGCGAGCAAAGGTATTCATATCTTCAATATACTCATCGATATTGAAGATATTCACAAAGAAACTGTTTGAAAACTTTGCTTCGATTAATGCAACACAGAGGTACTTAAGCATATTTTGATTATCTACATCTCGTGGAGTTTCAAGATACCGTTTTCAACTTACAATTGTTCATCAAAATGTCTTTCGGAATATTTGTTTATGTCGATTTGTTCTGTTTTTTCATTGATATAATAAAGATCTAAATTGAAATTATTATGATCTTTGCGATGTGAATAACAACCCAAATCAAAGTGTCGTTAAAAGCGTAAATTTTTTAGCAATCTTCCATAAACGTCATTGCATATAAAAATTTGGTGCCATATTAAAATTCCGTAATATTTCCACATTTTTTAAGAAGCAGCAGCATCACATAATCTCCAGTTTGTTTCAAAACAATACAGGTCAACCATGTAACCACTCACAGGTGAGATATTTATTTTCATATGATCAAAGCTCGTTTAAATGTAAATCTGAAATAATTTAGTTTAGAACTTATAATGATCATCAGAAAAATTACCTAGTGATCATGAAAAATACTTTGCTGTTTTGCCAAATTTCAAGGTTTATCTGCATACATAGGAATACATTTTTACTTTATAGAAAATGCTTTTCATACATCAATAGCCCTTTGGAATTTATGGCAAACAATCTGGTATGAGCCGTAGATTAACACACCTTTACATCTCTACATGAGGTGTTCAGTTAGAAAAGGGACAATATGTGACATGGGACAACATTTCATGTATGTGAAATACTCAGGTTTAATACTATTCCAGTCAAATTGTCAAAATAAAAAGCTTCATTGATCAGAAGACTCAAAATCACAGGTTATAGTAAACAGCTTCTCACGTAATCAATGTTAGTTTTCTCAAATCTTAAACAATATGTAGTATAACTGTCCAATGATTGAATGATCAATGATCATATATTGAAAAGCCCCAAACATTTGTTTATGATAAAGTAAATAATAGTATGGCGCTTATGGCTACAGATTTTTTGTCCATTGAAATATATTTGCAGGAATGTAGGATTTTGCTGCCATATAACGGCCACGATTCCCCAAGCACTAAAGAAATCATAGCTAAAAGTCCTTCGGCAACAACAATTTTAGAAGCATCAATCTGTTTACCATACACCATA